GGCTGTGAGCTTAGAAGCGGAAGACTGGGGAGGGGCTGAGGGGGCTGAAGCATATTCTACAAGCCCAGGGGAGGCACTGGTTCCTCCAGAACAGGCTGCTGGGGCTGAGGATAAAGTGTGGCTGCAGCGTGGTGGTCCCGGTTCCTGGCTGGGGCTGTGGCTCTCAAGGTGAAGGAGCAGGGTCTGAGGTGGAGATAGCTGCCCCAGCTCCAGGTGGGCTTTCCAGGGGCAGGGCCTCTTCCACTGTCTGTGCTGTCCTCTGGAGGAGGAGGAAAGCCATACAGAGTGGACCATTAGCATCCCACGTCCAGTGTCCAGCCCTCAGCCGAATGTCCCAATCCCAGGAAAGGAAGAGACTTTAGAAATTAGGATTTGTCTCTCATTTAACAAGGTAGGACGTGGGCTGTGAGAGGTTAGGGATCTGCTCAGAGTCATGGGGGGAAGAACTGATCCTGGGGCTCAGGGCTGACAGTCTCTATCCAGCTCAGAACCCCTCCTGTCCAGCACACTGCTTCCAGCCCCAGCCCACCTGATCCAAGGGCTCCTCTGTCCAGGTGTCTGTATCATCTGCTACTTCCTGGGCCCCTTCTGTTTCCTTCCTTGGGTGGGGAGCCCCATACACTCCTGATGAGGGGACAACATTGGCTGGTGCTCAGGCTGAGCCCAGAACATTCTTTCCCTTGATCTTCTCTACCAGCCCTTCCCCTCCCCTGAGCCTTGCTCCTCTTACCTCGGAGGATGGCAAGGTACTTCAGAGGCAGGACTTTGGCCCCCACCCCCGTCCTTTCCAAATCCCTCCCCTGAGGACTCATTTCTTTGAGTTTCCATGTACTTCTTCCCATATGCTAAGTCCTTGTAAAGAGACAAGGGACTGGCCCTGGCTGGGTAGCTTGATTGGTTGGAGCATCATCCGTTCACCAAAAGACTGTGGGTTTGATTCCTGGTCAGGGCACATATTTATGTTATAGGTTCCATCTCTGGTTGGGGATGGGAGGCAACCAATCGATGTTTCTCTCTCATATCAATGTTTATTTCTCTCTCTTTTCCTTCTGCTCTCTAAACATCAATAAAAAACAAATCCTCAGCCCAGCTGGCATGAGCATCGACCTATGAGCCAGGAGGTCATGGTTCGATTCCCAATCAGGGCACATGCCTGGGTTGTGGGCTCCATCCCCAGTGTGGGGCACGTGGGAGGCAGCCCATCAGTGATTCTCTCTCATCATTGATGTATCTCTCTCCCTCTCCCTTCCTCTCTCAAATCAATTAAAAAACAACAACAAAACAAACAAATCCTCAAGTGAGGCTTAATAGAGACAGACAGACAGACAAAGGGACTGGATGTGCACATGGGAGACAGCTCTGCCGAGGTCAGGGCTAGCTCTGTACCTGGGCATTCTGCCCCCATGGACCATCCCCACAGCAGGGACCTCCCCTGTTCCAGTGAGAAGGTGGCTGAGAAGAGTCTCGGTCCCTCACCTGATGGGAATGAGAGCGCGGGGAGCAGGCTTCTTGGCTGAGTAGCCTGTGGGGGTCTGGCATAGAAAGCAGATGGCTCAGTTTGGCTTGGTTTCTTCGGAGAGGGTTGGGTTGTGTGTGTCCTGTGGCCATGGGCCTGTAGAGGGAACACAGCGCTTGGGCTACAGGCACTGGTTGTTCTTACCTTCTCTACTCCCAGTCCAGGCTTGAATGCCCTGGTGCCTGTGGTAGCTTGGAGAGGAGATGCTGTCCATCATCATAGCCTGCATCCTCCCTCCCTGCTCCCTCTTCCCATCAGGCTGCCTTATCCAAAAACAGAGTAGCTGGTGCCTGGCACTCAAGAAGCCCAGGGAGCCCCAGCTGGTTTGGCTCAGTGGATAGAGCGTCGGCCTGTGGACTGAAGAGGCCTGGGTTTGATTCCTGGGCAGGGAACATGCCTGGGTTTTGAGCCCGATCCCCAGTGCGGGGTGTGCAGGAGGCAGCCGATCAATGATTCTCTCTCATCATTGATGTTTCTCTCTCTCTCTCTCCCTCCCTCCCTCCCTCCCTCTCAAATCAATAAAAATATATGTATAGTAAAAAAAAAGAAAGAAGGCCAGCGAAACCAGGCCGAGTCTCCCTAGCCCCTGTTGGATGCTCAGTGGCTACCACTCAATTCTGTGTCACCCTGAACAAATTACTTCACTCCTTTGAACTTCAGTCTCTCCTCTGGGAAATGGGAATAATAATCTCTCTTTCACAGGATTCCTGAGAGGATGCAGTGAGGTCAGGGCAGAGCCTGAGCTGCTGGGGGAGTCAGCCAGTCACTCGCCTTCCTCCCCTCGCCCCCTTTGGCCTCACACGTCACCTACCCCCTGCTTGTGGGGCCTAGACTTTGGGTCTCCAGGATGCCTGCAATGGAAAAGGAAAGGCTTGTCGTAGGCAGAAGAGGACATGGGGTCAGGGGGGCTTCCTCTGCTCTAACCAGCTACCCCCCGCACCCCGCACCCCCTCACACATACATACCAGCAGCCCCTGGGCAGTGAGGGGTTAGGCACCAGCAGCTCCAGGTAGGGGAGGGCCTTGAATTCATCTTCTCCAACAGCCACATAGTAACGGCCACTCACCAGAGCCTCCCTTGCTGACAACGGGAGGCCCTCCAGGGTGCAGAGTCTGCGGGAGAGAGGTGAGCGGAGGACAATCTCTTCATATTTGGCAGATGATGAGGGGGTGGGTACAGCTATTCCAGGGTATCCTTTGGCTACTGGTCCTCTGGGCACCAGGGCCAGTCACCTAGGCTCTGCCCTGGCTCCAAGAGCTGGGCTGGAGGGGCCTCTGCCTGTGGCCCAGAAATCCCATTGAGGGAAATGTGCTTTCCTTTTGCCTTTTCACCCTCAAGGACAGTCGAAACCAGCAAGGAGGCTCCCTTTGGAGACTTTTGGGCTTCCCCAGTCCCTGTACTCACTTGCACACAGCCCCACTCTGTAACTTGGCCTTCTCCGTCAGGAGCTTCAGCACCGTTTCCCAGTCCTCGCTGGCAGCCTGGGACAGCTTCAGCCCAAATGGGGGACTTAACAGGTCCCCATTCCTGAACACACTGGGACAAAGAGCAGCCTGGTAAGGGGGAGGGTCCCCAGAACTTCCTATGTGTGAAAGGAAAAAGGGTGGCACAGGGGTCAGAAGATGGTTCAAGAACCAGCCAGTGTGCTGGTCCATTTTCACCCATCAAGCATGTTGGACTTTTTATGTTCCCACCAGGGACCATGGGCTCCTGGAATAAACCCACTCACATTTTCTCGGTCTCACTGCAACAGAAATGTATGCCCTTGCTCCGGACACGAGCACTTACTGGATATAGCAGGGGGCACCTGCAGGCAGCCTCCATCCAAGGGCCCCGTCACCTGGGTGCTGAGTCACAGGACAACACTAAAACCCAAGTCGGGTGAGAGTTGAGGCCTTTGGTTAGGGTGGGCCAGTCCAAGGCAGGTAGGGTGAGGGAAAGGAACCTGATTGGGGCAGATGCGGCAAGGAGGGTTGGTACTGGTCATATCTTCACCAAAGGGTTCTTCTAACTTCCTGAATCACATTCTCATCACCCCCTGCCCATGTGTTTTACAGCTCCCTCTTTCCTTTGGGGACCACAGCCTGGAGATAAAGTGAAAGGCTGGGAAGGGAGAAGGGATAGTGTCTTGAAGTCTCACACCCAGGAAGCATAGTAGCTGTTCCAGAGTAGGCGTGGAGACTGCTGCCAGGAGACTGGCAGGTCCTGCCCTTGCCAGGGCCCCTGGCTTCCCAGATGAAATTGGAGGCAATCCCAGGAGGGGTGGGAAGACTTACTGGTAGTCTGCTGCTTTTCCCACCTAGATCCTTCCCTCCAGGGGGCAAGTAGCTGAAAGGACAGATAGGGCACAGGTCATCTTGGGGAGCCTTGTAGATGCCAGAGCTGGGGGCTGGGGCCCAGCTCACCAGCCATCCCTTCCCATTGGAACAGTCTGTCATTTCAGTCCAGAAACAGACGCTGGCACTTGAACCTGCCTTAATGTCCTGAGTCAGGTTGACACAAACCGTAAGATGAAAGGTTGAGAGAAACTTGTTCATTAAGCATCCTACTGTATCTCAGCAATTTTCTCATTCGGAGGAAGAGCCTTTGGTAAAAGGGGCTCAGCCTGCAGAATGTTTTCCTTCTCACAGGCTGGTCCTGTGATGGACAAACATCAGTGTCAGACTTCAACTTGGACTGTGGCTCCACTATTTGTTACTTAACTTCATTGTCTTGATGTCCCCTTTCTAAAGAAGGGGGACGAGACCACCCCTTCATAGGGTTGCTGCCTTTAAACGTCTAAAGTATCTGCACATACCTAGTAAGTTCTGAACATGTGCTATTGCTGTTACCTCCCTCCCTACACTCTGACCAGCCCCAGCTACTCACTGGAGCTTGCAGAATCGTTCGAAGCCAGCAGCCACATACTGCCCTCCATTCTGCAGGTCGGCCAGGTCAGTGACAGGGTGGCCATGACAAGGAGTGTAAAGGGCACGCACAGCCAGCGAGGCCTGCACAGCTGATGTTACCTCACTGAGGAAGGTCTCCAGGGTGGGGAAGCGGCGTTGAGTGACCACCAGCTGGCGGCCTGGGAAGAAAGGGTCCCCATTCCGGTACACCACTACCCTCTTGGCTGCCATAGTGTGCTCTCAGCTAGAGACGCAGAGCTGTTGCCAGGCAACTAAGGCAGGCCTGGGAGCAGTGCCAGTCAGAGGTGGAGGCCTGCCCTCTCACTCAGGAATGCAGGGAGAGCCTCAGCAGGTTCAGGGGCCTCACCAGAGCAGAGAGGGTGTAGTCACTGTATACAGGAAGATGCTGGGGCTCGGTGAGAGGCAGTGGCAGAGATCACACTGGAATAGACGGCCCAATACGGGGCCGAGGGAGGGCTTCTCAGACTCTCCCTGTCACCTTACAGGGGGGATCAGCTTTGGGGGTTATTTCCCAAGGATGGCTAGTCTGCTTCCAGCCAGTTCTGACCACAGGCAGCAAATGAATGCAATGAGGCTCAGAATCGAAGGAAAACCTTTATTTTCCATCAGGTCTCCCCTTTTACTTACCCAGGTAACTCCCCTGTCCTGAAATTTGGATTGAGCCCAGGTAAAGGATGAAAGTGTGTCCTTCTCCCTCCTCTCCCTGTACTGGTGCCAACTCTTTGCTCCAGCTTCTCTTGGCCCCACTGGCCACCAAGAGCCAGGGGCGGGAGGTAGAACTGGTACCGGGACCCGTCTCCTTGCCCTTGTTTCCCACAGCCTGTCCCTCCATGGTTCTCTCCTATGCTATCTACCCTGTAGAAGACAGTTTCTCAAGTGGCCTTGATCTCCATGGTCCATTCCTCTGGTTTTTCCATCCTTCAGGGCTAGGCTCATCGGAAGCTCTACCTCTGGAGCTTTTATTACTGGGGGTCTGGGCCTGGGCGGTTTGGTCTTCCAGAGATCCAGGGTACCATGTCCTGCCCAAGTCCCACCCCAGATGACACGGTCCTCTGAGAGGCCCGACTCTCGTGGCCTAGCTCTTTGGCAATTAGGCTCTTTGTGGTCTGACTTTCCGGGAGACTTATCTTCAATATTTGGGTCCACACAGAGTCTGGGCAGCTGTGTTCTGGCCTTTCCAGAACAGGGGCCCTTAGGTTTGAGGCCTGTGAGTGTCTGGTCCTCTGGTTTTGTCAGCTGTAGGCAGGTCCCTCCAAAGGTCTGTTCCCCAGGATGTGGCTCTTTGGTGAGCCTGTTCTCTATGGCCTGCTTATCTGATGGTGTGGGTAGCTGTGGTCCAGCCCGCCTGCGGTTTGGGTCCCTGTACTTGGCCCCAGCAGTGGTTTCATCTGTAGTGGCCAGTCTTTCTGGGGATTTGTGAGGTTGTGATCTGAGCCTCCAGCAAGAGTCATCTGCATGGTCTTGCTCTCCAGGTGTCCTGTCTCTGTAGTACTGGTCTTCCAGTGGGGGGCCTGGTTGTGACCCAGCTCTTTCACAGGTCTGTCCCCCGGGGTCTAACCTTGCCTCTGGGGATCCCAGTGTTTGTTTGAGAATTAGGTACTGTTGGGAAGAGAACAAACACTGTACCAGGCAGGCCTGCAGGGGCATGGCAGGAGGCCTTTCCCTCACTGCCACCCTTGTCTCTACATGTGCACAAAGGGCTCCAAGTTAGTGCCTACCTCCTTACGGCTATTGATGGCCTGCTGTATCCACAGCAGCTCCATGGCCAAGTGGCTGCGCTGGTACTGGAGCTCCTGGAGCTCTGTTGGACTGTGGGGCAGTCCTGGACCTGCAGCTTCTGCGAAGGAGGGAGGAATGGGAGAAAGCCTTAAGGTGTAAATCCTGGGCAGTGACCTAGCATTAGACCCTAGCACCCTCCTCCTGCCCACCCACGAGTTGCCCTCAACTAGGCAAAAGGAAGGGGGATGGGGTACAGCTTATCTAGAAAAAGCCTTTCACGCCCTAGCCGGGTTGGCTCAGTGGATAGAGTATCGGCCTGCAGACTGAAGGGTCCCAGGTTCGATTCCGGTCAAGGGCATGTGCCTTGGTTGCAGGCGCATCCCCAGTGGGGGGTGTGCAGGAGGCAGCCAATCAGTGATTCTCTCTCATCATTGCTGTTCCTATCTCTCTCTCCCTCTCCCTTCCTCTCTAAAATCAATACAAAATATAGTTTAAAAAAAGCCTTTCACTTTTTAGGTGGGAAAGTCGAGGCCCACAGAGGGTCAGGGGCTTGCCCTGATCTAGGCAGAGAGGTACCTGGGTTCTCCATCCTTGGCATAGCCTCAGTCTCCTCTTGGCTGGGTTTCCTGGTTTTCCTGCTTTGCTGATCCCAAAGCCAGGAGCTGTCATCTCTGCAGTGAAGACTTTCTGAATTTGCTGAGCTCTCTCCGGACTTCTTCAGCATCATCTCTCTCTCAGGCTCCTTACACGGGAAGCAACTCCATAGTTCCTGCTCTGACTTTGGTACCCTCTCTCCAGCTTTCCAGTTCCGATGGGATTTTGCCTTCTGAGAAATCGGAGAGGTATGAGTGCCCCAGGGCTAAACCTCTAAGTATCTGGGTGCCGTTAGGCTTACAAGTTGGGGGGAGATTCAGGATTGGGATGTGGGCAGCCTGCTGCTGCCTTTTCCATTGAGAAAGGCTTATCAGCAGGCAGGGTGGAGTCTACCATTCCTTTGAATCCCCTACCCAGGTCCCTTCTCCTTCTGGGGTGTGTGCTCTACCTGTGGGAGGAACTGGGGCCTGGGAATCCAGCCTTCAGTCCACTGCAGGGTGCCCAGGTCACCCTCGATCTCTCGTACAATAGCCTCATACTCCGCTCGGAGACTCTGGAACTGGCGTCGGACCAGGAAACCCCGGACGCAGGCCTGGTGGGGAGAGAAAGCCTCATCACTGCTCAAGTGGAGGCATCCTCTGGGATGCTCCTGGGGAGGTCACCCCGTGGCCACGGGCAAAGGAGAGGTGACGCTGTGCGCTGGGGCTCCGGGCTGGATCCCCGTCTTAAGGTCCTTCCCACCGTTTCCATGGTCCCCCAAGAGCGTGTCCTGGGAGCGCGTGGGGGCCCCTGGGTCCCAGCCTTCCTCGGGGCGGTATCTCCGAGGTCCATGGGGCTCATCATGTGCACCCGACCGCCGGTACCTGCAGCACCACCACCTTCCGAACCAACTGCTCCCACTCCATCTGGGCGCCAACTGCCCCGCGCGGCTGCCGGCGCCTGCCTCGTGCGTCACTAGTCCGCGCCCAGAGCTGGCGAGCGAGGCCCGCCCCGCCGTCTCCATGACAACCTCCACTCCGGCCTGGGCGGGATGAGTCCGAGCCTCCGCGCCCTCCCGAGGCCGCTCTAGGGACTCCGGCCTCCAGGAGCCGGACCTGCCGAACCGGAAGTGGGTTGCGCGGGGGTGTATTTGCCCGGCCGGGGCCTCCACCCGAGAAAGACGCGATGCGGGAGGGAGGACACGGAGCCGCTTTCGTTCATTCTGGTTTAATTCCATGTAATGCCCCCCTCCCCATAGCACCTGGGGGGCCACAGAATACGCAGTCGAGTCTGTAGAAAGTCACAGTTTGAAGGGAATGAGCGGGGTCCGGGCGTCGGTCCGACACCTACACCGCTGCCTGCTCCTCAGGCTCCGCGTTCTCGGCCAGGTGCAGCTTCTGTCTGTGTCAGTCAAGGATTGGACGCTGCAGACCCGGTCTTTCCAGCCCCGTCTTTCCATCCTGCACAGGCTGGCTCTCCAACTGCGAAAGGGGCTGTGCAAGGGACTCTGGGGTGGTCTGAGGTTGCAGTCTTTTTTTTTTTTAAATATATTTTTATTGATTTCAGAGAGGAAAGGAGAGGGGGAGAGAGATAGAAACATCAATGATGGGAATCATTGATCCATCCCTCCTGTATGGCCCCCCACTGGAGATAGAGCCTGCAACCTGGGCATGTGCCCCTGACCAGAATCAAACCTGGGACCCTTCAGTCCACGGGCCTTAGCTTTATCCACTGAGCCAGACCAGCCAGGGCTGAGGTTGCAGTCTTCATCGGCCCTTCTTGCTAGGTGGCTTAGCCCATTCTCTTTTGATCTAGTAGATCCTACAGGTGTCTGCACCCGCACTATTTCTGACCAGGACTAGGTAGGGAGATCATCTAAATCACTCAAAGTAATTGAGTGCTGAAAGATTAGGAAGACATTAGACAAGCTTTGCCATGGATTGGTGTCAGCTAAAGTGCTTGCAAAGATTTTGGGTAAGTAGGTAAAACATACTCCCTGCAACCACTTTTTCCTAATATTTGGGAAATTCTTCCTGCACTCCTTTTCCCGGGTTGGGGCAGTCTGTGGCTAACTCTGACTCAGTAGGACATCAGAGTGTGGCGATGATATTATAGTAAACACTCCTGGAGGGTGGGAGGGAAGAGGAAAGTGATACCATCTCTGGGAGGCCCATACACACACACAGGTCCGGGAAAGGATACATGGAATTACTAAGATCTTCCAGCTGTGGAGAGAAAGAGACATTCCTGTCAGAAGAGGCACCAGGCCAACCCCCAGATGTTCTGAGTGCCATTTTCTCGTGGGCTTGAGAGACTCAGAGCTCTTAGCTTTATGCACCCCAGCTTTTCACCCAAGGGTCAATAATGGCCTTAAGAGCAGTACCTCCCCCACTCCCTTATGCCCCCAGGAATCAAAGCACCCAGCCCTGACCCACATTGTTAAGCAGCTGGTCCAGGTTGCGGTCAGCTGTGGTCTTCTTCTGCTCTTCAGGCAGCCCCTCAGTGACCCCGTCCTCTTCTTCCTCCTCTTCCTCCTCCTCCCCACACACGTCCAGGCTGAAGTGCAGCCGGGCCAGCTTCTCCTGCATTTCCCGCACGTGCTCCAACTGCTCGAAGGAGCATTCCTTCCCTGGACAGCACCTGTCTGAGCCCTGGGAGCAACTTTGGGACCTTGGCCCCAGCCACTCACCAGAGACAAGGCCCTCTAGCCGTCCCCCCACCCCCTCACACACACACACACACACACACACACACCCATACACACACCCCACACACAGATATCCTCTAAACCCAACTCCCAGGACTCACCGAAGGCCTGTAGCCGGCCTGAGTGGAAATCATTGAGCAGGTTCAACAGTCCTCCCTCCATCTCATAAACATCGGTCACCTCAGTCAGGAACGAGTGCTGCAAGGGGGTGCCTGCAGAGCCACCCCCACCTCCGGCCAGCACCGGGCGGCATTTCTCCTTGCCTACCCTGGGTGGAGTGGACATGACCAAGGTCACAGGGCAGAGACAGCCAGGCACCCCCAGGTCTTTTGTGCCATCTGTCTGTACACTAATTCATCTTCCTATCTACTCATCAACATAAATGGATGTTTGTTCTTCTGGCCCTGCGCTGGGTACCAGGACTGATAATAGGAAGGGAGGGTGAGGAGGGATGAGGGTAAGAAGTCAAAATAAGTTGTTTTTTTCTAACAATGAGAAAGTCAGAGCCATGCCTGGAAGTAGGCTCCTGGGTTCCTGTCTGAGCCCCCACTCATTCCTCCTGTGACCCTGAGTGAATCACTTGTCCTCACTGGTTCTCGGTGAATTTGGGGACAGTTACTCCCTTATTGCCATGAGAGCTGTCTTACCTCTCCCCATAATATCTTTCTGACACTCTTCTATTTAAAAACTATGATTGATTTTGAGAGAGAGAGAGAGAGAGAGAGAGAAACACATTGATTCTGTTGTTCTACTTATTTATGTATTCATTGGTTGATTCTTGTATGTCCCCTGACCAGGATCGAACTGCAACCTTGGTGTATCAGGAAGATGCTCTAACCAACTGAGCGGTTATACGGCCAGGGCCTTTAAAAACTTTTGAATTTTCCATTGCCCTTAGAATGACACCTAACGACCTTCTCAGCCTGGTCCCCATCTGCAATCCCATTCTCCAATTGCATTTCTCTTCTTACCTTCCCCAGTCCAGAGCTTCAGCTATACCCACTGTGGCTGTCCCTAAACATGCCCCTAAGGCAGGGGATGTCAAAGCCATAGGGAAACATAGCAGTTGGAGAAAGAACACACAGGGACACATTATAGGGTAGGATGCAGATTCCCAATCATTAAAAAATATGAAGCCCTGGATGGACCTTGAGAATGTTATGCTATGTGAAATAAGTCAATCAGAGAAAGCTAAGAACCATATGATTTCACTCATATGTGGGATATAAGACAAACTCACAGACACACACAACAGTATGGTGGTTACAGAGAGAAGGATGGGTTAGTAAAGGGGAAAGGAGCCAAATATATGGTGTCGGAAGGTGATATGATTTTGGGTGGTGGGCACACAATGCAATATACAGATCATGTATCAGAGAAATGTACACTTGAAACCTATATGATCTTATTAAACAATGCCACCCCAATAAAATTAATTTAAAAATTAGGCAAATAATTCTAATTGTATACCTGAGTAGCTCCTCACCATTTCCTACCTGTGACACTCCAGGGCCATCAAACCACCTATGGTTCCTGGAACTTTCCAGGCAGTATTTTTCTTCTTTCTTATGCCAAGCAAGCCCCTTAGAACATTCTCCCTGTCCAGTGTGCCCCCCAGCCTTGTCTCTCACTTCCTGACAGGCAGTGCTGCTCACTCCCTGCTCTGAGGTGGTTCAGTCATCACACTGTGTGACCCACCCAGCCTTTTCCCCACACACTTGAGGATTGACGCTGGGCCTGAGCCCTGGGTTCTCAGGGGCACCCCCAGGGAAAGCATCAATTATTGCTCAGTACCTAAAGGCTAAGCCCCTTTACCTTCCTGACCATAGTGCTCAGCTTAGAGTTCAGGTCCCTCCCTTCGTGCCCTTTCCTTCTGTACCCACCTCTTGAACTTGGCCCTCTGTTTGGGGGACGGCAGATGAGGGAGGCCCAGGGCCAAGGAGCCACTGTGGCTGGTGGGCACAGGGACCCTGCGGAGAGTTCCTGGGGCTGCAGCCGGCTGGGTCAGGCAGGGTTTGGGACTCCTTTTCTTCTTCTTGTCCTCCATTGATGCTGGCTGGGCCTCAGGCCCTGGGTGGGAGGCAGCCCCACTGAGATCTGAGAAGCAAAGTCATCCCTTCACCTGCCAAGCCCCGAGAGCTGCAAAGGAAGGCCCTGGGGCTTTCCAACCATCCCTTCACATCCGTCCCTTCCTCTGTCCAGTATGGGCCGGGCCCAATGCCATCTCCTACTGTTGGGGTCATGGGTCTGTATTTGAAGGACCTTCTGAGCCCACTCAGGTCCCCACCTGTCCTCCAGCCCTGCCTGAAAGGGCTGCCTCAGGTAGGATTCTCCAGAGGCTGCTGGAGTTCCCTGCTCCGTAGCTGAGGGCGTGGAGCTGGCAGAGGAAATGTGGAGGGAGGGAGAGGCAGCGGAGGTGAGCTGGCAGGAGCTCCACAGGATTAGGGGTGTCTTAGCCAGGCCATGTTCTGTATGTCAACTGCTTAGGCAGAAGCTGGGAGCATCTGCATGGGAGGTGACCCAGGTGTGGGTGTGCCACACACTAACCACCAGAGGATGGATAACAGCGGGAGAAACGGTGGCATGCAGGGCAGGGCTCAGTGTGGGGTTTTCCCCCATTTAGATGCTTGCACCCCCTCCTCCATCTACTCCCAAACCCAAACACCAGGCAACTCTCAGAAGTTCCCTGGGACATGCTTCCAGCTGCTTCACCCTCCCCACTCAGAAAGTCCCTGCTTGGCTTCACTGGGGTGGGTGGTGGGCAGCAGCTGGCTGCCGTGGCCCCAACAATGGCTGGCTTGTGGCTGGCTGCTGGGCCTCCAGCCCAGCTCCACCCGCAAGCCCAGGTCTGTTGAGGTCCTCCCCAGGGAGGTCTGGGGGCCCTTTCTGGGGGTTTTCCCCGAGCTGCTCCTTCCAGGCTGCCACCACCAAGCCTGATCTGCACTCTGGGATGGTGGTGGTGCTGGGGGCATTTAAATCGGCACATGGCTGGTTGGCATTAGGGGGTGTGGCAGAGGGGAGACCTGCGGCAGCTTGACCCAATTAGGGACTCGATAGAAGAATTGGAGTGGGCGCCTCTGCTCCCCAGGAACCGCTGGGCACAGCCTGGGATCTATTTCCCACTCAACCCCCCAAACCTGTGCCAAGTGGATCGCTCATCTCAGGAGCCAGGATCTCAGAGGGAGTGCCATTCTGTCCCACCCCACTCCCCGGGGCAACAGACCTGGAGGTTTGGGGTCTGGAGTGATCCTTCCGTGTGTGTTCCTCCGCCCTCAGCACTCTCCTACCGGGAACAGGGAACTGGAGGAGTGGAAGCGGAGCCGGCAGGAGGTAATTTGCATTTAAAGAGAAAGTGACCTTTATCTCTGGTGGTGGGGTAAGATGGGAGAGCGTCTCCACATTTATTATGCTGTTCCTCTCAAGACTTTACCTCCTCACCTGAACAAGGTGGCTACGATGTTGTGTGACGGCAATCTAAAAATCCTTCCACTTTCCCATCTGTTTTGGAGAGAAACTATAGTTTCACAAAATGGTGGTGGCTTTGTCAGGAAGAAGAATGCAGAGAGGGAAGGTGAATGGACATATATAAAAGCAAGGACGGAGCACCAGGGTAGCAGCAACAGGAAGAAACTGGGAGAAGACAGGATCCATCAAGTGAGTCCAGGACCCCTTTAAGCACTTTACGGTCATTTAACCCTCATCACAGCCCTGGTGGAAGATCCCGTCATCGTCTCCGTTTACCAACAGTCAACAATAGTCTTTTGAGGGCAGTGGCACTCCTCCCACAACACCAGACACTGCTCGCTGGTACAGCGCTGGGGGCTGTACTCAGTCACTGGGAGCGGGGCATCGGGGAATGGAAACCTGGCGTTTGACTGCAGGCCTGGAGGCTGACACACTTCCCCACCCCCTGCTGCCCCAGGAGATCAGTGGGGCAGCTATTTAAAGACCTGGCAGAGGCTCCCGGCTCAGGTCCTCAGAGAAGCATCTGATGCAACAGGAGACAGGCTGCCCTACAGGCTCAAATAGCTGCCCTGGGCAGTGCACACAGCTGCTCCCACCCACTGTCCTCTCCCGCGGGGCGGGGCAGCGTCCCTGGGCCTGGCCTCCGATGAGTTAGGGAGGGGTGAGGCTGAGTTAGGGAGGGGTGAGGCTGAGTTGGGCGGGGGGTGAGGCTGAGTTAGGGAGGGACGAGGCATTGTTTCAGCAGGCTCCCCAGCAAGCCTCTTTCCCAGGTGCTTTTATATATATATATATAGGTGCTTTCAATGCCCAGACTGCTCCTGAAGGGGAGACATTACTAGTAGGTCAGGACTGTTCGATAAGCAGGGATCTGAGACGGGCCTGCACAGGCAGACAGGACAGCCGGAAGGCCCCCTCCTCCCTTACAGAACTGCAGCAGTGGCACTAGGCTCCTGTGGGAAAGTGGCCGAGTGCCCGGGAGCACCTCTAAGGTGGTTATTCTTACAGCTGCTTTGCTCAGAGCTCCCAGTTGAGGCGGTCTCCCCTGACCCCCTCCAAAGGATCTTTGGAACCAACGTGGCCAGCACAGAAAACTATCAACCCATTAGAACCCTGACTGGAAGGGGCAGGGGCTCTGTGGGGACTGTTACACAGAGTGGACACATCTACTTGTGGAGACGTGGTGGGAAGGGCACTTGGTCTCTGTCATTGGTTGGCCATTCATATATCGTCCTTTGTGATGAAAAGCCCAGGCCCCGGAGAGAACAGGGTGCTGGGTGAGACATCCAGCGTGTGTCCCATATAGGAGCATGGGGTGGGTGAGCAGGAGTGTATAAGGAACCAGTTCATTCTTTTTTTTTTTTTTTTTAATCTCACCGGAGGATTTTTACTGAGAGGAAAAAGGGAAACATGAATCAGTTGCCTCCTGTATGCACCCTGACCCTGACCAGGGACAGAACCCGAAATCTTTGGTGCAGGGGGATGATGCTGCAACCAACGGAGCCACCAGTCAGGCCGAAACCAGTTCATTCTTAAGAACTATATGCAGACTGTGGTCAAAGAACACACAAAACCAAAGGAAAGGGACCTGGAGGTCCCTGGTGGGCTGGTGCCGAGATGTTGCCCATGGCACACAGCCCAGATAGTAGTGATGCCACTTGTCTAATCTGGACCTCACCATGTGCCTAGCTTTCTGTTGCCCTTGATTTTGCATTCCTCGTGGACCCTCCCAATCTCCTACCTAAAGACCTTCAGTGGGTCTCCCTGGATATAGCCTAAATCTGGCACACAGGCTCTTGGTGACTTATTTGGCCCCATGCACCCTCTCTCCCACCCCCTCCAGGGCACCTGCATTGAACCACTGTTACTAAACAAGGGATGGGGAACGTCCGGCCTGCAGGCTGTAGAAGGCCCATGAAATAAGTTGGCATGGCCTGCCAAGGCAATCATAGGCAGGACTCAAAATTCAATAAATCTAAGAGCTTTTTTCATAGCAACACAAATGTATATTAAGTGAATTATATTAAGCAAATGTTATAAATATGCAAATGACCCTTAGCAAAAAAAGGTTTCCCACCTCTGTACTAAATGGTTATCAAACTTCTTCCTGCTCCTTGGGCCACAGTCCCTTCCAGGTATCTATCCCTATTCTCTTGCTGAAGGGGACAGGGCCTTCCTCCTCTTTGTTCCCATAGGACAACCACCCCTTCCACATCCGAACATCCCTTTTCCCCTCACCAGCCTGTGAGCCCTCCGAGGGCAGGGCCAATTTTTGACTGTGAGAATAATCTCCGGTGCTCCCACACATGTGTATCATGTCAGCTTTGCCAAGGGCTCCACTCGGGCAGCTCCAGTGTCTGTGTCCTGAGCTGGAAGGGAGGGAGGGCACTCTGGGAGATGCAGGGTGTCAGGGCACAGCCAGACTTGGCAGCAGATCCAGACAAATCACTGATGGCTGGATGGACTCACAAGCCCAAATGACCACAAAGGTCAGGAGAGAAGCAATAAGGCAACAGACTATTTAATAGGGTTTAAAATACATCAAAATCAAGTCCCTGGCTGTTGTGAATACCAAAACGAGACAAAAAAAAAAAAAAAAAGCTGTCAGCACAGCTTCAAACAAATCTGGGAGGCCAAGGTGGGCCATAAGGGAAGCAGTTAGAGACAGGTGGCAGCACCCCTCCCCCAGGAGGTGGGTACCTGGCTATCCCTGGGTGACCTTCTGTGCTGTGCAAGGTGGGAGGGCTGGGGCAGCTGGAGTCAGCTCAGCAGGCCTTGCCCTCCCCTAGATACCAGGGCAACCACAGTTGGGGTAGAGGAGGGAAAATAACATCTTTACAGACATAACATTCTCTTACAGAAAAAGTGCCTGAGCTCAGCCCATGGTCCAAAAACCTCATGGAAAACAAAGAAAGTGCTGTGGACACCTCTTAGAATCTGGTGTACATGAAGCTCTCAGCTGGACAAGGTCTGAACACTACTGTCAGCAGAGCCAAGGGCTCTGGGCTGCGAGCCTCGCCTGCTGTGGTCCCCTGGGGGAAAAGCTAGCAATCCAAGAAACCAACACAGCTCTTGGTCCTAGAACTGAGGTCATGTGCATGGGACCTGCCCTAGTGAGGAAGGCACTGGCCTTCAGAGGCCACATCCCCTGCATCTGGCCCAGGCTCCTGGCTGGCAGCACCAGGTACCTGGGCTGACTTTGGAAAGCGGAGCAAGCAGAACAGCTGTAGTGATTACGATTTGGTCAATGGAATTAGAGGAATGGGATCCCTACCTACAGCCTGGCCAGGATGCCCAGAGCTGAGAGCAACGGTTCTACCCTGCCCAGGGCCTATCATTTCGACCCTGGAAGCCCAGCTGAGGCCACCTTGCTCACTGTAGCTCCACTTGGTTTCAGAGAGCTGTTGTGCTGAGTTCCCACCCCATCACACTGGGCTCCCTCCCCGCTAACCCCATGGGCCTTAAGAGGTAGGTGAAGTGAGGCAGGCAATCATGTGGGCTATTGCAGGTCTACCTGATCTTTAAAGAGGTGGGCAAAGGCTTCTGCCTCCTCCCAATGCTTCCACAGCCCAGCAAACCCTGTATGGGCAGTTCTTGAGTACCTCAACCCGGCATGAGTGAGGGAGCCTTACTGGAACAGGAAGAGGCATGTTCAGGGACCATTCTAGACACACCCATTTCAGAGGGGAAGACACTTCTCCACAGGAGAGCACTATCTCAGCCAGGGATGGCAAACAGGTCTCAGCACTGGCTGCTGAGGGAACCTCAAGAAATGAAATACCAAGAATGAGAAGGAAATACTCTGAACAGAGACTAGTGGTACCTACTATGGAGCAGAGAAATGGTGTACCTTTCACTTGCCATCTCTGGTCAAAGGCAGAACAAGGAGTACTTAATACTCTTCATAACCTATTTTATAAGAGGGATTTAAGGGCTGAAAGCATGGGCTAGTTGTGCAAGATGAAAAAACCTATATGATAATGAATTAGCTTTAAGAAAATACAGAAGCATCAGCTCAACCATTTCACCCACCTTGGTCTGTGCTCCCTCAGCTACACTGAAGCCGAGGCCCAGCTGGAGATGGGACATAGTCCCCAAGCCCGGCAGGGCTCTGCTTCCTGATCCGAGACTCATCTGTTGTTCCAGAAAATTGCTCTGTATTAAGGTGGCCTAATACCTTAGGCAAGTTTGCAACCAGCAAAACTTTAAGTATAGAGGACCATGTAAGGGGAGGGGGTTATGGGAATATCTGCAGCCATTTTGTGGATTTCTGGGGGTTAGTCAATTCTCATTCTTATCCATCAATTGTCAGACAAGAGCTGGGGCCCCCACACAGGAAGAAGTAGGATATCGAGGACACTCAGCTCTCAGCTCTTCCTCCTTGGACAATGGAACCAGAGCAAATCTCAAGGACTGCACAGTGGGGATGGGGGCAAGAAGCAGAAACAGACTCATAAAGCCACCGGGAACAGCTCCTGGGGCCTAGCAACTGCTACATGGAGGCAGTGGTGATGGCATTGATGGTGGCCTTCCAGGATTGAAACCCATAGGATTCAAAGCCCTTTCCTTTCTCTCACAATCTGATCTCATCAAACAGGAACCTAAGCACCAACATGACAAAAGTGCCGGGTGGGGTGGAGAGGGAGGGTGAGGCACTGGAAGCCAGGAACCCAGGCACCACCTCTGGAGTATTCCTCCTCCCTCCTCAGAAGACCCTCCATACAAACACTGTCACGTGCAACAAAAACAAAAAACCTTCCGAAAGAATCCTTTGGGTGATCCCATCAATCATTTGTGCAGGCTAGAGAGGCACCTGTGAATGATAAG